TTCAGGTGACCGAGGTTGGAGGTGGTCTGACGGGGCTCCTGGCCCATGACGACGGTCTGAGGTTGAATGAGACGGAAAGCATCGATGACGACCTTGCCCTTCACGGACTGGATGGGGTCAACGACAACGGCCACGGCACGGGGGGTAAGCTGCTCGAATGATTGTTGGGTGTTGATATCGACAGACGAAAGCCAACAGCCGAAACCAGGGTGGGAGTGGTACCAGCCAACGACGGTTTCGGGCCTATACACAACAGATTGTCAGTGAGGTTGAAGCCGGGAGCCGGTTCGAGCCTTGTCTTACCGTCCAGTTTGCCGCAGCATGTCCATCATTTTGGTCTGGAAGACAGGATCCACCGCCTCGACACTGACACCCGTACCGCTCTGGGGCATAGCAAAGACATCAACCACCCGGACCGTGTATTCATCAACGAATTCACCCAGCATGAGACCCATGACTTCCATGGGAACACCTGCCCGACCATGCCTTAACATCTTCAACAGAGCGAGCGACGAGATGTGAACGGTTTCGGAGTTATCGATGAGGTTGGGGGTATCCTAGATTAGATATATTTAGCCATCACTGTCAAAGTATCGCTGCAGCGGTGGTTGGCGATTCCGCAGCCTGGCGGAGGGCGGCATGATAGCCTTGGATAGAAACAGCAAGCAATCGGAGTTGAGGGACTTACGCCACCAGGAGCTCCTCCGCCCATGCCCATGCCCTGGGCAGCCTGCAGCATTCTATTGAGACGGTCCATGATTGATGAGGTGATGTGAGGTTGAGTAAGTTAGATGGCAAGACGACACCGGATGTCTTCCTGTGCGGAAGCTCCAACAGGACAGAGGAAACGGATGGATTGAACGGGGTTTGGAGCTGCAAAGAAGCGCGGAGTAAATCGCTTGAGATGACGGGGTCGTAATGAGATCTAAATGGTTCTAAGGAGGCAAGAGTGAGCAGCGGAGAGTTGACGGGAAGATGAGTGGTGAGCGGCGCAACTCAAGCGTGAAGCCATCGATCGAGCTTCCAAGAAGCCTGACGAAGGCGGTGGAGCAGCTCGGGGTTCCCGCCTTTGCGTCTCTCCTTCCCTTCCCTCTCTTGTCCCCGTTCCCCATCTTTAAGTTATCGTTCGCCCGCCTTATTGGGAATGCCTCTTTCTTGTTCCAATCCCGCGACCACAATCAATCTGCTAGGTTGATTGACGAGGGGATACCTTCTGTCACTCAGACTTGGCTTCTTGCCTTGGTCTGATTTCATTTCCTTCCTTTTTCATCTCATTCAGCTCCGTTGTGATCGGACCGAGAAAACACCGCGCAATCCATAGAACTCCCCAACTCATAAACTGCGTGAGGATTCGTCTCGTGTACCTACACGTTGACCTCCAACATGTCGACTTCCTTGCCTCCTTTGGACCCTATCACCAACGGGTCGGGGGACCGCGGTAAGAAGGTCGCCTACTTCTACGACTCAGACGTCGGAAACTATGCCTATGTGTCGGGTCACCCCATGAAGCCTCATCGCATAAGGATGACGCACAGTCTTGTCATGAACTATGGTCTCTACAAGAAGATGGAAATCTACGTGAGTCTAGCTGTTCATTGTCTGGTGGTTGGGGAGATGCTAACCGCAAGATCGCCACAGCGTGCGAAACCGGCCTCCAAGTACGAGATGACCCAGTTCCACACCGACGAATACATCGATTTCCTTTCCAAGGTGACTCCGGATAATATGGACTCCTTTGCCAAAGAACAGAGCAAATACAACGTCGGTGACGACTGCCCTGTCTTTGACGGGCTCTTTGAATTCTGCGGTATCAGCGCGGGAGGTAGTATGGAGGGTGCGGCACGGTTGAACAGGAACAAATGCGATATCGCGGTCAACTGGGCTGGTGGTCTTCACCACGCCAAGAAGAGCGAAGCTAGTGGCTTCTGTTACGTGAATGGTGAGCCAAAGAAAGAATCTTGGGCTTAATCTTGACGTTTACTGACTGGGTGGTAGATATTGTTCTTGGCATCCTGGAGCTGCTGCGTTTCAAGCAGCGAGTGCTGTATGTTGACATCGATGTTCATCATGGAGACGGTGTCGAGGAAGCGTTTTATACTACCGACCGCGTCATGACAGTCTCGTTCCACAAGTATGGTGAATATTTCCCGGGAACCGGTGAGCTCCGCGATATCGGCGTGGGCCAGGGCAAGCACTACGCTGTCAACTTCCCCCTTCGTGACGGTATCGACGATACTTCTTACAAGAGCATTTTCGAGCCTGTTATCAAGAGTGTGATGGAATGGTACCGGCCCGAAGCCGTGGTCCTGCAGTGCGGAGGTGACAGTCTCTCAGGTGATCGTCTGGGGTGCTTTAACCTGAGTATGCGCGGACACGCCAACTGCGTAAACTTTATCAAAAGCTTCAACCTGCCCACTCTGATCCTTGGCGGTGGTGGTTACACGATGCGTAACGTTGCTCGAACCTGGGCGTTTGAGACCGGTATCCTTGTGGGAGACAACTTGACCGCGGAGCTTCCCTATAACGACTACTACGAGGTAAGATCGACAAAGCGAATCTTGATTAACCTGACTAACAAGTGCAGTACTTTGCTCCCGACTACGAACTGGATGTGCGGCCCTCTAACATGGACAATGCCAACACGAAAGAATACCTCGACAAAATCCGGACGCAAGTTGTGGAGAATCTTAAGCGCACCGCCTTTGCGCCTTCCGTGCAAATGACTGATGTACCGCGGGAGTCTCTTGTGGACGGCATGGACGACGAAGCGGATGCGATTCTGGATGATTTGGACGAAGATGAGAACAAGGACAAGCGCTACACGAAGCGACGCTTTGACCAGTACATCGAAAAGCCCGGCGAGCTTAGTGACAGTGAAGATGAGGATGAAAATGCGGCCAATGGTGTGCACCGCAAGCCCCAGTCGATGAAGCGCAGAAACCAGGTTAACTATCGGAATCTGGACGTTGCTGATTCGGGCCTGGAGAGCGGCATGGCCACCCCTGTCGACGCTTCCTCAATCCCCGACGATGACTTGGACCTGACCGCCGATACGAAGATGACGGAAGCTCCAGAGCCATTGACTGAGGCGCAGGCTTCGCCCGCGGCCGCTGACATGCCCGCCAGAGCTGAGGCGGCATCGGGTGCAGATGCTATGGAACTGGCACATGATAGACTCGGGGATCAAGCTGCTCCCTCAGCGCCCATCTCTCGCCAACCATCCCCCAAACCCCAGGATGAAGATACGACAATGGAAGATGCGGAAGATGAGGCGCCTAGGCCGGAACAGACTGAGAGCGCACCCGCCGCCGCCAAAGCAGAGAACAAGGGCGAGGAGAAGAAGCCTAGCGTAGAGACCTCTGCCCCTGAGACCACCGCACCTGAGGGCTCATCAGCGCCTGCCAAGAGCCAGTCACCCTCGACAGAGACGACCCAGCAACCCGAGACCACCGAGGTCGAAAACGCCAAGTCAGCGGCTGCGTCAGCCGAAGCCAGCGAACCGAAGGATAAGAGCCCCGAGGCTCCAAAGGGCGACTCGACTGTTCCTAAGGCCGAGTCGGAGACGAGTGACAGAGCTAAGGAGGTCACGAAGGCAACGCAGTCTGACGAGCCCACGAAGAGTGAGGACTAAGGGGGCTCCTGTAATCTCGGGGGTTGCTGGCGCAAGGGACGGGCAGTAATGGTGTTTCTGGTTGCGATCTTCTGCATGGGAATTAATTCCGACATATATCTCTGGTCTGATTTTTGCTTCTGTTTTTTTTTTCAACTCTTTCTTAGATGTATGTACTAGGCGAATGCATGATGATATAGGATGTTCATGTGTATTGGAAGTAACATACAGGTTGCTCGACGAGAGCCACCTATGTTGCCTATATTGCCCTTGTAAAAGTGGTAGAGACGAACGACAGCCCATGCGAACATGCAGAAAATAAGTGTCACAGACTGGCATTGATGGAGTCAACCACTCCGTCACCACCTTGCCATGTAGAGGGACAATCATAATTTACCTGTTTACTTGTTTTCTAACTGAGCTTTTAGTCTGATCTGTCTCTATCTACATCCTTGCCCTAGCTATAGTTGCACTACCACGTGATCTTATGAACGGAGTCACATGACCTCTAGTCAGCCTAGCAGACTAGCCCTAGGGCAATTTCAGCCTTGACCAATCAGACGCGCTCCGCCAAGATTTCGCCCACTGAATTTGCGCGCCCACTAAGCGAGGATTCGACCGACCGCCCCGACCGCCCACACGCCCGCCGTGCGACCCCCCGACGCCCGCCCGCTGAGAGAACGAAGCTCGAGTTCGACCTTGTTGTCGTTGTGTCCATCGCCCAATTCTCCATCTCTCCCGACAACCCCCGTGTTTAGAGATACACAGCAGCCAAGATGTCTCAGAGACCGTGAGTTCCACCGTCCCCGTTTTTGTTTCTGGGGGGTGAAATGAGGTATTGGAGGAGGAGAAGGGAAAGGGGAGGGAGGAAATTGCATCGCAAGAGGTGGAACTCTGAATGATCTGGGATACGGGATTTGGGGTGGCCGACAAGTTTTTCATCGCACCGTTCTCCATCGACTACTGGGATGTTGGCGCTTGAAAGGCTTTTTATTCCTTGTTGGTGATCAAAGGAAGAAAAGAGGATCGAGCAGTCAGACCGGAAACAAAAGAGCTGGGATACGAATCGAAAAGCGCCTTTCACTCGAACTCTCCAACGACAGGTGGGGGTTTCGGTGCTCGACTTTCCCTCTTGCCTGTCTCGAAAGATAGAATGAGGGTTGTCGACGAGACTCTACAACGATGATTTTTTCGATGTCCTTTTTTTTTTTACGACGGTTTCCGGCATCGGACAGGTCAACGCTATAGGGAATGGATCTCGAGGATGCAATTTCTCTCCTAGGGGTTGAGGAACAGAAGATGCAAGCTGGGGGTTATTCGATATAACCACTACAACGACTACATCGACAACAACCAAAGCTGACCATGTCCCTCCTTCTCACAGGCGTCCCTCCGGCAACAAGCTCAAGATGACCCTGGGTCTTCCTTGGTACGTGTGCATCGAATGCTCCCATTCCCGATGAAAATCGATCCATCCAGCATTGTTCTACACACCACATGAACGACCCCCGTTACCGAATCCAAACAACTTCAAAATCGATCAAAAACACTAACAGTCGCAAAAACAGTGGCGCCGTGATGAACTGCTGCGACAACTCCGGTGCCCGCAACCTTTACATCATCTCCGTCAAGGGTATCGGTGCTCGCCTGAACCGTCTCCCCGCTGCCGGTGTCGGAGACATGGTCATGGCCACCGTCAAGAAGGGAAAGCCTGAGCTCCGTAAGAAGGTCATGCCCGCCGTCGTCGTCCGCCAGAGCAAGCCTTGGCGCCGCGCTGATGGTATCTACCTCTACTTCGAGGACAACGCTGGTGTTGTAAGTTTACCTCCTGGCTCGCGCCAAATCCGGCCGATAGACTAATTTTGTGTCTGCTAGATCGTCAACGCCAAGGGTGAGATGAAGGGCTCTGCCATCACCGGTCCCGTCGGTAAGGAGGCCGCTGAGCTTTGGCCTGTACGTTAACTCTCCGCCCCCCCAAAACAATGATCAATTGCTAACAGTTGACCTCCTTCGCAGCGTATCGCCTCCAACTCCGGTGTTGTCATGTAAAAAAAGCCTTGAATTATATGCGGGTGTGTGACAAGGCGGATTTGGGGAACGATACCAAAGCTCGGAATCATGGGTGGGGGTGCCAATTCAAATATTTGACCTCGAATAAAATGAAAATGAATTCATAAAAAAGTTATACTCTCTCTTGCTGTAGGCACTTGCGTTGTAGTGATGTAGTTCATTTTCCAAAGACCCGTAATTATTGACCACGTATAATGCGGCATGTGAATGCATACGTCTTTGAGGGTTGAATGTCTTCAATGGTATATCATGATCTATGCTTGCTATACCTGATATCTAAGATTTATATAGATGTGTGTGTGTGTATCCACCTGCTGTAGATACAGTTTTATGTCTTGACCTTCTGCGGCCGACTTTTCCCACCATCTGTCCGTTCCTGGGACTTCTTCGACCGTCGCACGACCGCCAGAAGGCGTAGTGCTGCTACGACCACCACGACGCCGACAGTCACCAGATCCGTCACATGCACCGCCCACCAGATATGCTGCACCCCGGCCGCGCACATCTGGATCTCATACTCCCACTCCTGCTTGTCCGTGTCAAACCACACGGACAGCAAGCCCGCGTACCCGCCATACGCACCCATCATGGAGCGCATGGTGACCTCGCGGATGGAGGGCGTGGAGGGAGGAGTAGTGGTGGCCTCCTGCACGGAGGAGTAGCGTTTGGCGTCCCATTTCCAGTCCCTTTGCTCGGAGTCAGCAGCTGCTGCAGTAGCATCCTCAGTTTCGCGTTTGCCCTTGTCCTCACTCTCCTCCGCACCCTCACCCTCACCCTCACCCTCACCCTCACCCTCATTTTTCGAGTCCGAGTCCAACTCCCCATCCAACTCCCCATCCAACTCCCCATCCCTTCTCACAAAATGCAAAACATCGCACCCCTCATGATCATGCCCCGTCAACACCAACCCCTTCCTTCCCCACCCGCCGCCTTCCACCTCCCCGACCTCCCCACTCATCCCAAACACCCCCTCCAACACCCCATTCCCACTCACCCACTCACTCAAATGATTCTGCTCGCGTAACCCCCCGGCGAACCACCGCTTCTCCTTACCATCCTCGGCGTTATCATCCTCCTCGAAGAACTTAAAATGCGGCGCGTCCACGCAGACGCCCGCCCGCTTGTGCAGCGGGAGGTGCGTCAGCAGCAACGTAAACGTGGAGCGGTCGGTGACCGGCGCGAGACGGTCGGTGATGAGGGCGTTGAGGTAGTCGTAGGAGGCGGACTGGATGTCCGGGCTGTAGGCGGGGGTGTCTAGGGTGAGCGAGTTGAGGTTGATGATGTGGATTTGTGGGGGGTTGGGGTGGAGGGCTGTATTTGGGTGGGAGGCTGAGGCTGAGGTAGAGGCAGAAACAGAGGAGGCCGTGTTGAGCCAGAATTTCACGTCCCAGTTGACGGTTCCGAAGGTCTCTTCGAACCGGGCGATGCGCGAGGCGCTGGCGTCCCCTGCGTATCCGATGTCGTGGTTGCCGACGACGTTGAGGATGCGGTTCGTCCAAGGGGAGGAGTGGGTGGTTGGGTTGAGGGCGAAGTCGGTGTTGTTATTCTGGATCTTGTTGTTGTTTTGGTCTGATTTGGTGGTGTCATCGCTGTCGGTGGGGGGAGCTGAGACTGAAGGAATGAAAGAGTCCCCCCGCACACCACCTTGGAACACTCGCTCCCAGTATCGGTGGCCTCGGCGCTGGAATTCCTCGTCGCTGACCCATTGGCTGCCGATGAGATCGCCGAGGACCGTGACGTGGGTGGGCTGGGTCCACCAGTGGAGGGTGCGGTAGATGTGGGCGAGGTAGTAGTCGTTACCCAAGAGGTCGAGACGTTTGCGCACTGCTTTGAGGGTGCGGGGGAGATCGGTGTGGAGGAGGGAGTGGAGGGCGGTGGTGATGGCTTGTTGCGTGGCGGGGAGGTTGATCTTGAACGGGGTCGATGGGGGTGCGCGGGTGTTGATGTCGGGGTTGGGAATGGGTTTGAAGTCTGTCTTAGAAGCGTGGCTGGAGGTCGAATCCGACGTAGACTCAGTATCAATGGCCGAGCTCGTGTTGAGAGGAAGAGCTGGAGAGGTCAGGGCAGCCCGTATCTGCCCCCAGTGGTGTCGCAGACGCGCTGGCAGCTCATCCTCTGCCTTAGGTAGCGAGCTGTCGCCCTCTATCTGAGGATCTGCGAGGACGAGAAGACGGAATGGCGCTGCTGGTGCGGGCTCAGCGTCTATGGGTATATGCTGTCGCGCAGTGGCCAGAAAGGCATCCGAGAAAGAGTGCGAGTGATGATGCGGCAGAGGAAAGGCGCAGCCGTGGACGACGGGATACAGATATAGATACAGGCTGCTCGTCACGGCCAGCGGAACGAGCAGCACCAAAAGACGGCGAAGAAGGGATTGGAGGAACATTAAATTTGAGTAAAGGAGTGTGGTTAAAAGACAGAAGCATCAGGGACAGGCATTATTATTGAGGGCGTGAGGTTGTTGGAAAGTTGGTCGATGCGGCGGGAAGTCGATGGGCCTGCGCGTCTCGGCCCGCCGATCCTCACGCTATCGCCGTTATCAGTTGACTTTTTCTGTCTGGTACTGTGGTAAACGGTGATAGATTGTAAGTTGGATTTGTTAGGCTGTAGTGGAAATCTAGGTCCAACTACCGTTGCATTAAACATGCTTCTAATAAAGGCAGCATCTGAACCAAGCTTCGTAGACAATGCAGAACTTCAAAAAGGAGAAGCAACACAATAACTCATTCAATCCACTATCTAATCAAGCTATCGACTCATCATAAGTCTTCGCGGACCATTCCAAGTCCGCCTAGAAAGAAATTCCAATGGGTATATCACATCAACGCCAAGCGAGCTCGCCGTCATCACTACAAGAAGATATTAAAAAGAATGTGTGGGGGGAAATGAAAGAATGGAAGAATATAAATCCCATGCTGCATCACTGCGAGCTTTGAATCGAATCAGGAAGTAGAGACGCAGGACCAGTGTCAACTTCTAAAGGTTTCGACAGTTTGAGACCATCCTCATTGCCGTCGCTGCTGGCAGGCTCGCCGTCCAAATCGAGCCCCTTGATCATCAAGCCTCGTTCCTCGGGTGTTTCAAATGATTCAGCTGCTGTCTCTGCGTCGGTGGTCTCCGAAGATGCTTTCAAAGACGCATCTTCTTTCTCCGTCGCCTCGGGCGCCGCACCCTCTGATGCTCCAGCTGCCGCTCCTACCATCAATGCCGGAGGCCGCTGGTTCATCAACTGCGCCTCCTTCAGGCTGATGGTACGCTGCTTATTCGTTGTCTCCACTGGCAATTCCATGTCCCGCTCTATAGTCGCCTTCATCAACGCAGCCATCCAGCGTCGACCTTCCTGCACATTGTCGACCTGGAAATAGTGAACTGCCGGCTTAGTGAACTGCACTGTACGGGACGAGCCCGACTTGGGCGGTACCAGCTTGAAGAAGAACGGGCCCTCGCTGCCGGACTTGCTAGCTCGTGGTGCCTCGATGCTTGGAATGGGATCGGACGATGAGGTGCCGTCGGCCAATTGAACCGAAGGGGCTGGGGCGGTTGGGGACCCGGTAGAACCGGTGATTGTGGCATGCAGCGCGACCATAGGGTCGTGATCGGCGCGTAGCACGCGATGCGCAGTGATGTCAATCAATCCTCGTTCCTCTGTATCTTGTTCCGAATAATAATACGACAACCGGCGACCCCGCAGCACGAAGAGCCGTGGCTTCCAGGTGGTAATCAGGTTCGGAGACTTCTTTTTCATCCAGCCAACGTAGTCACACCCTGCCATCTGCTCTTGCGGAGACTTCTTCTCTAACCCACGCATGTAGGCACTGGTATCTTTCTTTGACTTGGGGCCAGTCTTGACGGACGGGCGGGAGCGGGGCCACAGACCTCCCTCGGTTGCCTTACCGGAGCCGTCCGTACTCAACCGTTCAGAACTCTTCGTGGTCGAAGGGGTCGTGGAACCAGTCCGGGGCGGAGCAGGATCTCGATCCCGAACCGGGGACGGCGGCGCAGCGGTTGTATCGACGTTCTTGCTCACCACATCCGACATAGCTCGGAGGCCTACGGCGCGACGGAATTTCGGGCCACCAATCTTAGTTGATTGCTGAGACGAACGGGGTGCATCGCTCTCCGACTTCCCACCGAACAGCGGACCGAACAGACTGGATCCTCCAGAACGGTCCTCGATCGCGGAAACGGGAGCCGATTGTGGTGTTCGACGATCTACCAGACGGGTACTGAGACTCCGAAGTCGTCCCTTCGGCGCAGGAGTTGTGTAAGACTTGTTAGGCGGAGCAATGGGCTGCGTGGCCTTTTCTCGAATCGAGTCCATGCTATTGATACGTGAATGTCGCTTCGCAACCCGAAGGGGCTCCCCGGGGACCGGTGAAATGCGCGCATCAGCACTCCCGGCGGCGGATTGCCGTTTCTGCAATAGTCGTCGTTGTTTGCGGGTGTCCCCCTCGGGGCCAGAAAAATAGCCGCGATCAAGGTCATTGGGCGTTGCAGCTGCCGTGTCTGAGCCATTCGACTGGGTTGGATGGTGGAAACCCGTATGGACGAACCCCGTCTCTAATGCTGGAGAAGTGCCCGTCGACGTCCCGGCCGATGTGCCCGGCCGCGTGGGAAGGCGTTGCTGGGGTCCCGTCGATAACGACCAAGCGCGGTCAAAGGAGCCGCGCTGTGTGGGTCCTGGTGAGCCATCGACGACTCCCGAGTAACCAGTCGTTGCATCGATAGACGAGTGTCGACGCGAATGATTGATTTCTCGCACGGACGCAGCAGACGGGCGACGCGAGTGATCCATAAATGAAGAGCCTTGCGACGGGATCGGCGATCCACTGCTGGTACTGGGAACGGTGTTGCTGACCAGTCGAGGATGGGGCGTGTTCGACGTGCGCAGAGTCGGGATGCGCGGTAGCAAAGGCGCCGTCTGCCCAGTTCGACTGCGCGTGCGCTCTGGGGAGCCAGGAACCGCCGCCAGCGAGCTGCGCGGCTGAGTTGGTGACACTGCCGGCGATGGCTGCTTGTGGCCAACTTTGACCTGGTCTTGGAAGGTGCGAATCTTGTGCCAGGTTTTCAAACGACGGCCCATGACCCCAAAATCAAACTCTTTCATAAAAAGAAAGTCCTGGTTCATATCGAGTAAAACTTCGCCACTAATCTCTTGCTCCTCGAAGATGTCACAGTGCTTGTCCTCAATGCCTAGTTGGCGCAGCTGCCGGGCCGTGTAGGCAGGAGACCAGCGTCGAACCTGGGCCTCCTGTGGCTGCCGCTCTTCCTCCTCATCGGTTTCATGACCATTGATGTAGGAGCGGCGGTGGTCGAGATGACTGCTATACTCGCTGGCGGAGTCGTTCAAGACGGAAGGCTCTCGGTCGGCCACACTATGCCGTGGCGTACTGAGATCAGTAATGTGTTCATCGATTACGCTAAGTGTCTCATTCATGACAGGGCTATCTTGGCCATTGCGATGTTGCCCCTCCAGTGCCTGACGGATTTCAAGGGACATCTTGGCAGCCGGCAAGGGGGAGGAGGCGGAACGTTGCTGTGGCTGCTGCTGTTGCGGGGGCGACCGCGGCACCTCGGGGGCACGTAGGTCGGAGATGCTGGTATGGCGCGAGACTTGAGGGGTGGATTCGCCGCTTCTGAGGAGCGGTTCGGCGTCAGGAGGAGTGCCATCGGTGTCTGTTGATTGTTCGGTCGTCGCTTGCGCCGTGCTCTCGGCAGGAGGGCGAGTGCAGATCTTTGGAGCGGCAGTGGTGTATACTGGATAATTGACTGTTAGTGTTCGATTGCTCAATGGTAGGTAGACAGAATTGAACTCTTAAACAACCTACCTCCAGGGAACAGACCCGTCGAACCGGTGGTCAAGTCCTTGCCTAGATACCAGCCATCTCCAAAGCCCTCATCCAACTCAACCAATTCGATCTTCTCACCGCGTCGCAAGGTCAGCTCGTCGGGGCCGCGGGCATCGAAATCATCTGCGCAGGTGAGCAAGGCCATCGAAAGCAAGGTAACAGAAACTGAAATAAATAAGAATGGAATTACTCACGGACAACGAGCAGGAGATCCCCGGGTATAACACCGCGGGGAGGAGCGGCGAGTGCCATTGGGGGGGGGGGGGGGGTAAAGTGGGAGGCGTAATGGCCGACAGAAGGGTGCGGGGAGGAGAAAGTGAGACTCAAGTGCCGGGCATGGGGCCGCCGCCCAGATCAAAGATGGTCTAGAATGAACGGAGGGATTGCGAGTGCGGGAAGAGGAAGTAAATAGTGACGGAAAGACGGAGAGAGACACAGCAGAAGATAGGTTTAGGTCCGGTAGGTACTAGTCGGTTGACACAGGGAAGGAGAGTTAAATTGGACTGAAAGAACCAGTCAGACAGAGAGAGGAGTCGATGATGCAGGATGATGGCAGTAGTGGGCAAAATGATGTCGATCAATTGGTCCTTGCCCAGGGGATTGCAGCTAAACAGAGGGGGTGGGTTTGCCGGAAGGAAATTGATAGATAAAGTAAATAGTAGGTAAGTAGGTAGGTAAGGGTAAGAGAGTGAAGCTGAGGAACGCAAAGAAGAGAAGAAGAAGAAAAGAAGAAGAGAGAGAATGCCCAAGAGGAGGAAGCAAGCAGAAGAAGCAAGAGAAGCAGAAAGCGAACAGTTTGAATTGGCAAGCGTCAAGACGGACGAACCACGAATCGGAGCGGGGAACGAATTCTGTGCTGGTCGGGCAGAATTAAGATTAATCTGGTTATAATTAGTACTGGGTATAGGATGAGTATATCTAGATGGGATGATACTACGAGTATCATAAGTCCCAAGTGGATGATGTTCACTGATTAGGCATGGGGGTAAATAAATATCAATTAAACTGTTGTTGATCGAAGGTGTGGAGAGAAAGAAGGAAGAAGGAAGAAGGAAGAAGCTCATACCTCCGAGTAGGTTAAGTTATCTCTACTCTAAACTTAGGTATGTAAATACCGTTGGAAGTATATACTTGCTTGCTTCTTCCCCCTTCCCTTCCCTTTCCTTTCCTCAATAACTGCATTCATGCATTCATTCATTCATTCAACAATCCATATTCTCTTAATAACCACCACCACCACCATTACTTTTTAGCATCAACTAAGTCTCCTCCTAGTCGTACAACTGGCTCACCTCCAATTGACAGGTCAAGACACTGCCCGAAACAAAGCCCTGCATTCGGGTAATGATGGATCGCATTCAGCCCATTGTGATTTGTGATGTATCCAAACCCAGCCTGGTCGGGGAATGTTCGGCCTTTATCATCTTTGCCTTACTCTTCTTGTATACACACATTATTATCTACGGAGTATGGAGTAGCCTGGTCAAGCTTGAGCGAACTATTATTCACTATTCTACTTACTACTGCAGTAGTTAGTTAGTTACTTAGTGTGGCACAGTCTGTCATTTCATATTTCATCTCGGCTAGTTGTGAATTACTCAATATCATTTTTTTTTAATTCCTATTCAATTTGGTTTCATCTTCACTCTAAGACAGTTTCTAGAGGGAGAATTCACATGTGGTCTTTGGCCTTCTTTTGTTTGCTTGCTTGGGATCGAAGGTGGTTGAGTCTTTCCCCTCCTTTTCTCTCTCTCGAGTTTACTTTTTAACCTTCCTTTTTCACCTTGCAGTCCTGCTTCTCTATATCGAGTGGAGACAAAGAAAAGGAATCCAAATTGATGTATCCTCCGTACTATGTGATCAGAGTCATACAACAACATCCAGGACTGCCAACAAAACATGCAACATGTCATCCGCAAATCAACCCGTGTTACAGTCGAGCAACTCCACCGCCCACATATTTCTAGGCGGCGCCCGACCAACCTGGATGAATGCCTCTCCGCCTGTTGCTGTTCCTGTTCCTGTTGCTTCACCATCCTTAAATGTTTTCCGCACCCGTCCACATCCAAATCCACTTCCACATCCGCAGCCACGTCCACGTCCACGTCCCCTTGGCCTGTCGATCCCTCCTCCTTCCGCCAGATCTCTCCCTCCGCCGCCTTCTCAATCGCAACCACTCCTTCCAACCCCACCACCACCTCCTCCTGCTCTTCCCACGACAATTCCTCCCTTCGCTGCTGATTATCCCACGTCCTCACGCCAGCTTCAACCTTGGCCGGGTCCGCTTCGGAATGTGGTTGCAGCGCCTGTTCCCTCGTCGCGCCCTACGCCCTCCATTGCCCTGTCCATGACGCCCCGTATCACACCTGGGACACCCAGTGAATCTCCAAGGCGTTTTAGGTCCAGCACTCGCGCATCGACCGCAGCATCGACCGCGGCAAGTGAACAAGCCAGTACTACACATGTCGTGGACCTTTCTTCGAGCTATCCACCTCAACTCAATGGGGATCCCTCGTACTTTCCCGCCAGCTTAAAGAAGCTGGATGATTTCGCCTCAAACCCTGTACGAAATGCCTCCGTATCCGTGACATTGGAAAACGCCCGTCTGCGTCTGCTCCACGATGCCCTATCATGTCGGGATTTCATTTATCTAGTGATTCATCAATTATACAGTCTAGGTTCCTATGCTCTTGCCGAACTGGCGCAGCTGCAGCGTTTCTCCGAAGACCAGTTCGCTGGGTTGAAGATACTAGGGCAGCTGCTGGCCGACAATGCACGTCTGTCGCCGCAGTTTCTTCTATGGGCCTCATGTTTTCCTGAGCCAATTGCCGATATGGTGCGCCTGCCGTGGTGGACGGCTGCTCTTTCCCAGGCCATGACTGCCTTGGCCATGCTTGGCCACCGCTGGAATGCATTTGAGGCGCGTATTCTTGAGCGAGGCCTACCACCTCTGATTGAGGAGCTGATTCAAAACTTCGCGTTGCGCTCTCATGTGCTGCATCATACCATTTTTTTGGCCTTGACGCGCCGTATCCCCGGCCCGAACAAGCGGGAAGAACGTCTATCCGAGATTTTTCGGCACGACGCTGCCCTGACAGAGGTCCGTCTGGCTGAGGCCAGGAGAAAATCTGTTCCACTTTCGCGCGCCCGCAAGGAGACCGATGCAATCCTAACGCTGTATCACGTCAATATGGGCTACCCTCCCCCCCACACACCGGCGTCCGTCTTTGCCCCTCAACCTGTGATTGCCTCAGCTTCCCCGCAGGCAGGTCGACCCATTCACTCGGCTCGCACGCCGGGAGTGTTATTACTGCCCACCCCACCTCTCGCCGACCATTCCCCACAATCCACACAGGCCTCCCCTGTTCCCGCTGCGCCGGCCCCGGTCTTGCATACTAATACACCTAGCCTGAAACCCACCACGGCTCACATGTCTGTCACTATTCCTTCTCCGAGCTTTGCTCCTGCTTCCACGGAGTCGCCGGTTCAAGGTCCAGGTCGTCCTCGTCGCCCGCCTCTACAGGCTGAAGCTGCTCAGCAAGCTATACTCACGATGCGTCGGACCTCGCGACCGGGGGCGCTTCCTCCAACACCAACACCAACTAAGCCTTCCAAGTCACCGTTGCTCCTCCCTGCGTCTGCAACGATAATGCCAGCCAACGCTCCGCCCTTACATCCTCTGCGTGATGCATTACATCAGGTCCATCTTCGAGAATCGGTGCACCAGCTAGTCAGAAGGGACTCTACAGGCCAATCTCAAGAGACAAAGCTGTTCCAGTATCTTGATTCGTTCGCACTCACGCCGACACCACTGGGTCGCTTCGAATGCCAGTTTCACTGGTCCTTCACCCTATCACAAGAGGCTGCGGACCGCCTTCCAGCTCCCTCGCAAATGAGTTCTGGCGAAGTTTCCCATCCTGTCCGTGTATTAATGGACGGTCAGCAGCTCTATCGGATGCGTTGTATATCTGTTTCGCCCGACACAAAACTCCCGATCGACGAATCTACTTGGAGTCGGGCCGAGTGCGCCTGGCCCAGCGTGATCTATATCTTCGTCAATGACACTGAACTTTTTGTACGTCGGAAATACCATCATCAGAAGGATGTACCTCTAGACATAACTCCTCATTTGCGAGTGGGTGAGAACAAAATCTCGTTGCACTTCATTCGCGATGCTGCCGAGCAGAAGGACAAACTTTACGCCGCCGCCGTGGAGATCGCTCAGATCGCCGCTCTCGAGCCTGTCATGGCTCTTGCACAGACTCTCGATGCGGATGACTCCTTACGCCAAATTCACCAGCGTCTTGAGCAGTCCTCCTCTAATGATAATGAAGACGATGACCTCCATGTGGTTAGTACCGACCTTGTTATCAATCTTGTCGACCCCTTTACTGCTCGCGTGTTCAAGCAACCCGTCCGTGGACAGCTTTGTCTTCACTCCGAGTGTTTCGACCACGAGACATTCATACAAACCCGGGCCGCCGTCTCCGGGCCGCGTGCCTTGCCCAACGACTGGCGCTGCCCGATCTGTCAGCGTGACGCTCGTCCACAGATGTTGGTACGCGATGAGTTTATGGTTGACGTGCACAACGAATTAGTGCGCACGAATCAACTCGACGACGCCCGCGCCATCCGGGTAACCCTCGATGGCTCCTGGACTGTGGTCACTGAAGCAGACCTTCCAGCCTTTAAACGCTCCTCCACCGGCCTGGACAGTCCTATCCCGAAAAGACCAAAGATGGCCCCACCTGAGACAAAGTTCCAGCCCATTCGGACAGCAAGCGCGAGCCCGGAAGTGATTGACCTTGATTAAGATTCTGGCGCATCGTTTGGGCTGCCGAGGTGATTCACTTGGTGGAAGAACTCAGTACGGCATCCATCTGAAGCTAATCTATGATTACGCCAGGTGGTGCCCAGATCTGGAAAGATACTGCTTTTCGTTCTTTCCTTCTTCCTTTCTTTTTCTGTTTCCCGTTTACTTCTCCCTCTCCTTACCCCCCAGCGTTCAAGCATAAAGAGCTCTTTCTTCACGATACCCCCAATACTTTTTACTCTATGTCTGTTTTGTATTTCTCGATGGGAATGGAGTTGGGATGCCGATTCCGTGAATATAGCGCTTTCTCTTTGGGCAGGTACAGACACAAATTTTAGCAAAAAGTCAGTTTCAACTGTTTTGGAATTCGTACCTTTTTGATAGATAGCATGCAACACACCCTGGCCATGCACCGTTTCACACCTGGATTCACAACTAGTGACCTAGGGGGTGAACTTAGGAACGTTATGCGAATTTTCTGCTTCCCCCCCAAAAAGCTATACTCCACATGATGAGTTAAGTTGGTACATTTGGTGCGATTAGAATGTGTATCCGAGTACAGTGTGAATACATAAAGTAACATATCATTATATTTCTTGGACCAGGCGGAATATGTATCCCCGTAAGGGTGTCCCAGTATGACGAAATGAAGTCGGCATCCACTTGAACAGCTGGTGGAATGAACGCTATTCATCATATCAAGTAGGGATTACGGCTGAGATCCGATTTTCGTCTCTCGATTTGTACAGTACTACCTACTATGCATTAGGTATTCTTCCACCCGCGCACTGCACTGAATGATAACGACCAGTTCTACTTCCACTGAATCCAACCCGCCGAAAAAAAACCAAGCCACGGCACACACGAATATTTAAAAGTGGTTAGGAAGTCCAACACGAAGAATGCATCAGGTATATATCATGTCATTACCAATAGAATTAAAACTTTGTGTGCCCCGTTTCCTGGAGCTCCAAATACCACCGCCCCCATCCTAGAACCGACCGTTTGTTTGTATCTTTCCCGCATCCACCCGGATATCCATCCCTCTTTTGACTTTTCGGGTCACTCTTGTTAAGTCCCCATCCTTATTATAAGCTATAAGATAAAGAAATGGTCTCGTCGGTAGATGTTAGGTGTGGTCTACTACTCCGTACTACTTCCTCACTCTCCTTGCATGACTGACGAGATTTTCAATCACGCCTTCAAACGCCTCTTTCTCGCTTACTAGCCCGTCCAGCCGTTTCAGCCAGTATTCCAGCACCGAACTCGCCCGCAGCGTTACCCATTCCAGTTCCTGGACGTGGCCCTTGAGTTCCCCGTCCGTCAGGCCGCCGAGCGCCGCGTCTGTGGTGGCGCAGAGGCGGCGGACGGCCGAGAGATCGAGCTCTGGTGGTGGGGAGGCTTCCCGTCTCCGACGGGCGGCGGTGCTGCGGGGCGTGCCGCCGGGGCTGCCGGCTGTACTTTGGATGCTGTTGCGGTTGGCGTTGGCGGCGAGGCTCTGGGAGCGGGAGTGGGAGCTTGCGTGGGTTGGGGTGGCGGTGCCGGGATTTCGGGAGGCGGTATTAGGCGTGGCGGTTGAGGAGGTGTTGGCGGAGATGGTGAGGGAGGGGAGGACGAGTTTCTTCTGTTTCGAGGCGGGGAGGATCTCGTCGAGGTCGACGGGGACACCGAGTGAGACGAGGAAGAGACGGCGTATGCGGGATTTTACCCAGTTCTGAGGCTGAAGAGGTGGGGGAGCAACGAGTTGGGACCAGAGGGAGAGGGAGCGTTCGGTGCTGAAGATGGCGGTGGCGTTGGGGATGGGTTCGGGTTTGGAAGATGGTAATGGCGATGTCGTGGAGGGGAAGAGTTGATCGAGAGGGTCGTCCAGCGCCGCGTAGAGGTCGGGAATTGTTCGGTAGGTGGTTAGATCGAGGAGGGTTGGCTGGAGGGAGTCGTTAGCAAGGAGGCTCCGGACGAAAAGATCTTTCCACATACAACAGAGGGCGGCGTGGGGGGTTGCGAGACTTCGACATCCACGGGGACCGCTGCGCTTGGCTCCTGGAAGCCGTCGTCAAAGTCCCCAAAGTCCGCGTCGTCGAAGTCTCCCATGTCGTCTTGCCCTTCGGTGAAATCATCGAAGTCGTCTGCACCACCCCCAGGCGTTTCTTCTTCCCCAAACTCTTCGCCCGTCACTGTTGATCTCCGGCGGGTGTGACTTCGATGGCTTGCAGGCGAGTCTGCATTGGTCAATCGTCCCTGAAATTTTATGCTGGTGGTTAACAGAAACCCGACTTACCTGGGGGCGCCGCGGTGACCGTTTCCGTTTGATCCGGCTGCGGGTCACTGGGTTTTGCCCGATGAGCATGTGGTTGTGATTCTTCGTTGTCATCTGATGATACTTGTGGCGATTGTTCTTCGTCGTTTGTAGGCGAGTTGACTTGAGACAGCAGCGTCTCGGGGACGGGTGTATCAGTAAGAATGGAAACGGATTCGGGGATGGGCGCAGCATCCGACTCTGATGCTTTCACGACAACGTCTGGTACCGCATCCGCTCTCCTTAGTTCGTAGGCCGGGGTACCAGGTATATCCCCGTGGCTCGGTTGATCCAGATCCACCTTTTCGACCACCGTCCGGGGAATCGGAGAACTGGGCGTCATCGGTCGTTGCTGCTGCCCGGATGTCGAAGTGCTCCTACTGCGGGATCCATCAGGGACGACCTCAACTTGATCCGGAACAGCGTCTTGAGTTCGAATGTCATATGCCGCCGTGCCGGGGATTTCGCCATGTGCTGGATTCTCATCGACTCGTTCCACCCGTGTTAAGGGGATAGGGGATGCGCGCCCGGCGGAGGAGGAGGGGCGAGAAGGTGGGAGTTGAGGACCCTCGCTGGCATCAGAGAAATGCTCATCGTCGCTGTTGGCGGCTATCATGTCATATGAATTGTTAGGAGCTCCCGCGACCAGGGGCCAGTCCGAATTGCGAGGGTGGTGGGCTTCAAAAGAGGCTTACCGGAGTCCTGAGCACCGGAGTCTTCCAACTCCACGGTCTTCCTTGGAGGCTCCAAGTATGGACTGGATGGACGGGAAATCCGGTCCGACATTTGAGGAAGGGAGCTTTCAGGTATGATTCCAACTCCAACGATAGAGCATGTATTTCTAGATGCTGTCGTCCGTGTTGTAAGAGATTAGGAGGCAAAGAGGACTTGGGGGGGG